TTGCAGTTGTTGAAGAAGCGTGACCTTCGAAGGAACAACAAAGCCAGCACGAGTGCAGTAGCAACATTGGCCTTGCGAAGATATACCGTGCAGAAATTCACACAAGTGTAATTGTTGGTTCATTATTCAACAACCAACTACATAGTGGATTTTGAGGACGTAGAAGGATTACCCCACCTTCGAACCTCGTTAAAGTTTGCGTGTCTCTCTCTTTTCTCTTTACTCTTACTTGCAATTATATTAACTGTGAAAACTAACCCATCCATATTGATTACTGCTCACTCTACCCACCAAATTCCGCACACAATCTAAAGTTCACAAGAACTCTAGATTAACACTTATTTTCACGTTTTCAAAAGAAACGAAAAAGATTTTAAATCTGTAATAAAGTCTATTCACCCCCCCCCCTCTAGACTTTATATTTCACCACTTTGGGACCACCAATTGGTATCAGAGCAAACTTCTCACTATCTACGTTTAGATTAACGAGAAGCGATCATAATGGTGAACAATATGGATCACGGTTTGCCCAAGTTTTCTCTTCTAGGTTATGATGATTGGAAGATCATGATGGAAGCACACCTCTACGCTCTACATGATTGCATGTGGATGGTGCTTGAGGATGGACCCTTGAAAATCCAAATGGAGAATTCTGAGAGGAATCCAGCAACTCCAGATGTAGTCCAGTACATTCCAAAGCCCAAGGAAAAATGGGATGATAGAGATTGCAAAAAGCACAATCTGGACAACGTCGCCAAAGCAGTCATCTTCAAGACACTTGATCCCATCACCTTCTCCAAAATCAAGCATCTCAAGACTGCCATGGAGATATGGCAAGGTCTTGGGAAGCTATGTGAGGGATCAGAGGACTTGAGAAAGCAGAAGATAGAAGTCCTGCTTGAGAAGTTCAAAGGCTTCAAAATGCTTCCCGGAGAATCATTTGAAATGTTGGATGAAAGGTTCCACAAAATCTTGAATGATCTTGCCTCACTTAACCACGTTCTTTCTCCCAAAGAAAAGAATGTAAGGTTACTGAGATCACTTCCAACCGAGTGGTATACCAAAGCCACTGCCATGGAAGAAGGAAGAAACCTGGAAAACTACACTGTCCAAGGTCTCCTTGATGAGCTCAGAACCTATGAGCACGAGCTGAAGAAGAAGAAGGAAGAACAAGTCACTCCCTTCCCCACGGCACTGATGACAATTCCAAGAGTCCCATAAAGTGAAGGGACCTGCCCAAGGAACTGTGACACACCCTCCTCCAGCCAGCCGTCAAGCTCAAAAATGGAGAACTACGATGAGGAATTTGCCATGATGGTCAAGCAATTCCGGAAGTTCAAGAAGTTCTTCAAGAAGGCTGATTCAATCAGAAGGCCAACCAAGGGAAAACCACAAGTAAGTGACTCCCCTCCTGAATCCTATTTATGCTATAACTGCAGGAAGCCTGGCCACTGGAAGTCAGCATGCCCATACCCAAAGATGGAGAAGTACGGAGAAAGAGAAAGAAACGAGAAGAAAAAGAAGGCAATGGTTGCTGCTGAAAGTGACGAGTCATCCAGCTCAAGCTCGGATGAAGAAGCCCTCGTCTGCATGGAGCGCAGGGTTGAAAAGACCAACCATGAGGATAGATGGACTATGTCAGAAGATGACACTCTCTGCCTAATGGCCAAAGATGATGCTGATCAAGAGGTAATTTCACAAACCTCCTGCTCATCTTCTTATGAAAGCATACCAACTTCTGAAAATCTTTTTGATCAGTTCAAAAAGATGATGGAAGATTTTAAGGAAATAAATCTCAAACATTCATCCTTAACAGAAGAGAACAAGCTGTTAAGTGAAGAGAATCTCAAGTTGACTGAAGGTCGGAAAAGTCAACTAAATGAGATCACTCAACTTAAAGCTGAAAATGAATCTCTCTCTGAAAAGGTGAAATCCCTTAATAAAGAGCTAGGGATACTTAAGTCCAAAGAAGCAGTGGACAAGCTTCTTGAAACGACCAAACATAAGGGTCGTGAAGGACTTGGGTTTGACCCCTCCAGTTCCAAAAGGAAAGGGAGAACAACTTTCATCCCTCCTAAACCTACTGCCAAACCAAATAAGCAGAAAGGAAAGGAAAAGGAGAAACCAACAGAAGTTCCCAAAAAGGTAGTCCCTCCTAAGAACTATAGGAAGCTGGACA